CACACACCACACGTATGCGAGATCCCTTTCTTAGCTGCCTGCAACAGCTCCCGTTTCCTCTGCACGTACTGTGCAAAGAGCAGGCAAGAGAACCTGGGCTCCTCTGCCTTCTGCCTTTGGCCACAGACGCCCCGGGTATCCTGAGCATTAAGGACTAAGCAACATTAATTGAGGTCTTTGCGTAGGGAAGTCCGATGAACAGCAACGGTGACACACAAGGTGATGAGGCCAGGCCCCTGGGCCCAGACAGTTCGCTTCAGAACGGTGCCGTGAGAACAGCGGCTGTTCCCAGTCAGAGCTGCTGCATCCAAGGGGGCAGAATCTTCACAGGACAGCATCACCGCGACACCAGACATTTCAAACGCAGCTGATGAGATCGAAAGCAGTGTGTCATTTGGGGGAAGCTACATGTGATACGGGCAGCATCCTCATTCCGGAGAAACCTCCCCGAGGCACGAACATTGAAGGCATGAGTAGCGCGTATCTCACCTAAGGCCTGAAGAGAAACTGTCCCGGTGCAGGCATTTCAAAGGCAACAGAAATGTGCTAGGGAAACAGGACTGACAGCCTGGGCTGAAGGGACATTTTGGAGACACTCTCATCTGCCCAGCACCCAGGCGGAGCACCCCTCCGTCCCACAGCCAAGTGGAGCCGACCAAGCGCGGGGCCCGTTCCTGGAGAGCGTGCCTAACAGCCCCAAGACCCCACCACCGCTCGCCGGCCGAAGGGCGGCCGTGCCCAGGCAAGGTGCTGACCCGTGAGCCGCTGGGGGAAAGAAAGCAGCAGCGCCCTGGCAGCCAGGCGTGCCTGACACAGAACTTCACGCAGAGGAGAGAAGGGAGACAGAACACGGGACGCTGAACATCAAGAGCAGCACCAGGACTCCAGCAGGGAGCGGCCCAGCGAACGGAAAGCCCGGTCCTGGCAGAGAGGTGGGCACCTTAGCACAAGGAACACTTAACCTAAGTTAAGTCAGTGAAGACTTATCCTCAACGTAATAGCGACTATTTTTTATTCTAGCTAAGCAGTTAAACTGGTGTCGTGACGCGCCATCAGAGAAGATGAATTAGTGTAACTACAGAAGCCTTCACTTGAATGGAGTGTTGTTACCATAACGAGGTATTAATATACATTTGTATTAAATCTTACCACGAAAAAGACGACTCTTGATTTTACCATGTTGTTCTACAGAAGAACTCCAAAGTGAAGCATCACAAAAACTAACCCCAAAATGCCCTACGATGCTGTGATGTTTTTAGCATCCTTGCATTAATCATAGAACTGGACTTGGCAGAAACTTTGTACCTTGCCTGCACATGCACAAACACTTGCCTCTTGTCTAGAGCTTATTCAGGAAACTGCCTGCAGGGAAGAATTAGCTGTCTGGAAAGTTTTCTTCTGATTTAATTACAAAATAGCCTCCGTCTTCTCACAGAAGAGAGATGTGTTTCCATCCTTCCCTAGAGAATGCTGAGCATATTTTATTCCCGGTTAAAAAAACCCCACGAACACCAAAAACCAAAATCCAACCAAACGAAAAAAAAAAGCCAACTCCATTCATCCATAGGCTAGGCCTCTGAAAAAGCTGTAAGCCCAATAGAGTATTTTTTTAAAAAAGTTATTAACGTGGGAAGGAAGATTTGGTTTGACAGTAAATTTTATAGCAGGAAACTGAGGTCTCCTGTCCCAACTCATGTCCCATCCCAAGTGCTCAAGCTCCCTATTCGCCTACACTCAAACCCACCCTTTTGGTCCTTCCTCTTGAGTTTCTGTGATTCATTCAAATCAGTACATTCTTTGCAAGAAGAAAGAGCAGTTGGATTCAGTGGAAGAGACATCAAACAGAACCACCAGAGAAGCATCTCTGTCCCGCCCTCACGAGCTCCCTCGGTGAACGGTCCTTTTAAAGTGCACGTGTGAAGAAAAGGGATACTGGGAGTGGAGCCCTCCAGACTCCAGTGGGGACCTATCCCTCCCCACCATGAGAAAGGAGGAATAAAATCTTCAGCAATTTAATCTGCTACCTTAGGCCGTTTCTGCCCTCCTCATCTCCCCACCCTTCCTGAACGCTCGCACCCTGCCCTGCAGGGAATCAGTTGCTCAGGCAGGTGTGAAGAAGCCCCAACCTCTGGAATGCTCTCATGGAAGGCTCACGAGCACGTCCCTGTTCTCTACCCCAGCCAGCCTGTTGCTGCTCCCTGAGGCACTGGAGCCCTCCCGACTGCCCGAGAGGAACTGGGCGGCCACTGAACTGGAGTAAATCCAGTCCTGCAGGGCAGAAAGCAGCTTGCTGGTGAACCGGTTGCAAAGTCTGTGCAATTTCTCCGCCTGACGGTGAGGCTCACCTGCAGGGGATGCCCTAGCTCGCAGCCTCCAAGGGATCACTTCCCTGCATTGGAACGCCCTTCGATAGACAGCTTGACCTCCTGGGGAATGAAAGAGGGGCGGAGCAGAGAGGGTCGAGGCTCCTCTGCCTGCAGGCTGTATCTTTGGAAGCCTGGGGCCGCCCAGCCGTGCTGACTGCCAGCCGCAGGCGGAGAGGGTTCTGTGTGAGAGCTCTGGGCTGCGCTGTCCCTATCTGCGTGGCTCTTCCTTTCAGCAGCTCTGTCAGAGAGTTCTCTGGCCCCCTGAGCTGTTCTGTCAGATCTCTCCCTGGCAGACACCGACTGCTCGGCAGGAGGGCAGTTAGCCTGAGAAGCAGAGTTGCCATTCACGCTCTGTAAACTGATCGATATGCAGACATCGCCCACCTGCAGCCTGTGACAGGGCAGGGCGAAGAGCTGAGCAGTCCGCCCCGGGCTACAGGAGGACCAGCCCTGGCCATACACAAAGAAGGGATGCTCCGGGGGAACATCAATGCTCACTTTACTCTGTTGCTCCCCAACCACAAAATGCAGTGTGACAAGCCCAGGCCACTGACTCTCCTGAATATCCACCACTGTGCTGGAATCGATCTTCAGGCCTCCGCTCACCTCTGCGCTGCGGACAAAGTCTTGAGTTTGCAGGTCCTCTACCCGCTTCAGCTCTCCCGTAGCCAGCTGGATGATAGCTCCTTTCATGAAGTGGGAGGGCAAGCGTGAGGAGCTGGGCGGCTGCACCTGGGCCAGGTCCTTCTCCAGCGTGCTTCCGTGAGCCGGTGCATCCGGGCTCCGCCGCGCCGCGGGTTCTGGAGCGGAAGACCTGACAGTCTCGGATCCAACGGGAACCAGGACTGGCTTGCCGTTGGCGATCACCGTGCCTTTGGTTAACTGTCTGTGTCTAACCGGCTCTTCAGGGGAGGTCACGTACGGACTCCTGGACTGGCTCTTCTCCGCAGCAGCCCTCTCTGCCGCGTTCCTCAGCGCGTCCTTTGACTGCCCCTGCTGATCAGGGACATTATGGCAAAGGTTTAAAGGGCTCGGGTCATCCTTCCTCTGGGCCGCCAGAACGTGATAATCCTGAGATGCCAGCACCCCCACCACCCTCTGAACCTCCAGATCGGTGTCTGGGGTGCTTCTGTGAGCTGGCACAGAGACCTCTGTTCCCAACGTCTGGTAACCTGAAAGGAACTGTCCATCGACCACACACCCTGCTGCAGGCCCAGGCAGACTGTCGCCAGCTTTAGTGCCGGCAGAGTCCACGGCCTCGCTGGGCCTCCTCACCC